GTCGCGCCCCGCGTTGCGCTCGCCCCGGGCCCGAGCGCGCCCGGGGACGCCAGGAAGGGGGCCGCTTTCTTTGCCCTTGTAAATGTTTATTTTTAAACTCTGCCCAGTACGAACTCTGCTGTGAGCGTGCGGGGGGCGCGCCGCACCGAGGCGCCCGCGCCGCCAGGGCTCCCCGCCCCTGCGCGAGGGCTTGCAGCTCCGACTCGCACACCGCGCCCCAGCGCACACCCGTCCACACTCACGCCAACACACTGTCGCTGAACACTTTTATAATGGTCAGGCGCAGCTGGGGGGACTTGGGGCGCAGCGCAGCTGCCGCTGCGGCCGGAGGATTGATATTTATTTTTGCATCGCGATGGCTGACGGCGTCTATTTAACGGTCTTTTTACCTGGATATGTCTGTGAGGATCCTGATAGGAGACAAATAAAGTCGATATATTTGCACAGTGCATTTCTCCAGGCTCTTGACTTCTTGAACCTTCGGGGCCCAGGCTCCTAAGACTGGGGAAGTGAGGGAAGGATGTGGCTGAGCGGGAGGCCGGGGACCCCAGGGTGGAGGTAACTCCACAAGCCTCAGGCACCAGAGCGTGGTCGCGCTCCTGGTGCCCGGGTCCACTGCGCCTCCCAGGGGATGGACACCCAGCCCAGAGAGCCCCTGCCTCCCTGGTCTGCTCCCCATCGCCGCGTCTGGGGTGGAGCTGAAGCCGCTGGGGAGGCGGAGGTCGGCCTGTGAGGATGGAGAGCCCTTCCCGGTGCAGCTGACTTTTCAGGAGGGCTGGGGTCAGGGTCACAGCCCCCCGCCCATCGCAGAGGACCTGCTGCCCTTCCCTGGTGGTGGCAGGTGGGGAGCCGGCTGAGCCACCAGTGGAAGACTCTAGGGGGGCTGGGAGCCCGCGGGAGCTGGGCAGAGTGTGGGTGTGACTCAGAGGAGCGCCAGGGACCCTGCCAGGGAGCAGAGCCCTCGTTTGCAGTCCTTTGGTTCCTCTGTGCAGCCCCTCGCTTTGCCCTCTTCAGGATTCCCGGGGAGGGTGGGGTTATGTCTTATGTCAGAGCCTGAAGGGGACTTGGGTGCCACCGGTCTCCCCACCCCTTTTGTTTACAGATGAGAAAACAAACCTAAGCAAGCAGGGAAGCAAAGGTCACGTGGTGAGTGTTACCAGTGGCAGCCAGCTCTCCTGACTCCACGTCCAGTGCTCCCAACATCACAGGGCCTGTCTTTCCAGTGCTTTACAGCAGCCGCCGGCCTCCCTGGCTCCGCCCTAAGCCCTCGGGGTTAGTGTAGCAGCGCCACTGGCCAAGGGTGGTGGTGGGGTAATAAACAGCACCTGGCTGAGGAGGGCGGGGTCCCCACTTGGAGCCCCTACCGTCCCACCCCTCCGGGGTTACTTCAGAGCTGACCCACCCTTCCAGGCTGAGAGCTTGAGAGCTTTCCCTGCTCCCCTCTCCAGGTTGCCCTGTGTCTGTGCTTGGGTGCCCTGTGCTGGTGGGGCTGGACTCAGCCCCGCAGGGGGTCTGAACCGACTTTACTCTTCACAGGCACCTCTGGCAGCTCTCAGCTCTGCAGAACGCTGGAGAGCAGAGGAAATGAAAGAAACAGAAATAGAAGCACCTTTCTATTTACTAGATGGGATGCTGCCCAGTTCATGAATTGTCAAATAAAGCAGTTAGATCTTTAAAAAAGAAAGAAACAAAAATAGAACCCACGGGGCCTGAATGTCCTCCTCACTGGCTCAGAGAGAGGACAGGCACAAGGCCTCGGGGACTGAGGTCTGAGGCACTGTCCTAGCCCCAGGGAACACACTGGCCCTTGCAGTCCCCAGTGACCATCAGTTCCGCTGTGGTGAGGGCTCGTGACAGATGGCCCTTACTTGCAAACAAACGCCTCAGCCCTGCAAGGCAGCCGTGGGTGAGGCTTTGATTCCAGTGTCTGCAGCTGCCTCGGCCCAGCTCATTTGAGCACCTTGGGGTGGGAGGAGGGTGGCTGAGGCTCTGAATCCCCTCACCCCCACTGTCTTTCCTCAACCTTTCCCGCACCCCCATCTCATATCTTTTGCAGTAGCTCCTGTTTCTACTCTTCAGGGGCTAGTGCCCCAAACCCTCCTGGGGGGTGTCACACCCTGTAGGCCCGAGATCCTCGCTTGGGTGTCTCCCCTCTGGGCACCACAGTCACCGTCTTCCTGTTAGAAAGCCTCCTTCTGCCACCCACCTTCGGCCCCTTCTCCTGCTGAAGGCCTCCTTGGGTCACCCTGCCAGTATCTGGGGGTTGTGGGGACCACATCCCATCACTCCGGCTCCTGCTCAGCTGCTCGCAGAGCCTAGCACCCAGCCGGTGCTCCGGAAATGTCGGTTGGGTTAAAGTGAGTACGGGGGCAGGGAGGAGAATCGATGCTCATCTTGCCGACTTCCTGGTTTGTCTTTAAATTATTCTATTTAATAGATGTTCCGCGTTTAATAAGCTAATTCCTTACTTTTTGGTGTAAAAGTGATGTCCAACTTGTCCCAGTGTCTTTGTTTTGCCTGTAACTGGCAATTAGTTCTCAGGGCTGGAAATAGGAAGAAGCTGCGGTGAGGCAGTGATTTGGTCAGAGGGGGGCTGGGCGAGGGAGGGGTTGGGATGCCGCAGTATCAGAGCAGCAGGCTGGTCTGGGGTGCTCTCTGCTTCTGGGCATCTCTGCCCCGCACAGAGGAGGAAGGAGAGGAGGTGGGAGGGGGCTCTCCCGAGGCGCCATGGAACTGCTGGGGCTCAGCTCCTCCCTGTGGCTTGAAGGCATTCCAAGGCAGGATAGAGCTCCAAGGAGGCCAAATGGGGGGAGAGGAGGAAAGAGGGGGAGACGGGCTGAGGGAGCAAGAGAGCATGAGAACCAGAAAGATGAGGACTGAGGCCCTCGGGGAGACAGGGAAGCTTGGAGACGTGGAGAGGTGGGGGATACAGAAAGAGCCAGGAGCCAGAAAATGTCAAGAGATAAGCAGAAATAAGGGCCACCTTTGGAGAGAGAGAAAAGGGCCCCTAGAGAGAAGGAAGGAGGTAAGGTGAGGTAGAAGTGCTCTGGAGAATGGGCACTGGAGGGGAGAGAAACTCCGGTCCCCGTGCCTCTCCAGGAGCCGCAGAGCTGGCGTGTGCCAGGGTGGGTGGAGCCGGCCCAGCTGTCGGGATTTACAGGCCTGTCCCAGGAGACGCCTCCTCCCTTTCCTTCCCTGTCTAGGCTGCAGCCCATAGGCATAGCTTGGGTGACCAGTTTTCAAACAAGCTGGATCCCAGAGGAGGTAGCAAGTGGCCATCCCAGCTCTGGCTGGCAGCCTCTTCTAAATATTTCTCTTTGGCCCAGGAGGAGATATTTATCAGGGTGTTTCTTGGACTGTTTTGAAAGCCAGCTTGGCCTCTGCGGCCCACTGTGTTCCAATTCTGGGCCCACTTGGTGTGGGGTTGAGAGGGAAGGGCTGTCTGTGATTCCAGGGAATGGAGTCAGCTGTGGACATGGGCATCCTCCCCCAAGGAGCACATCTGGGCTCTGGCAAAATGTGGAGGGGAGAAAGGCCACCACTGAGGGAGCACCTCCCATGGGTACTCTGCTTCCATCCTAATAACCTTTCCCAGGTGTTTTACTGGTGAGAAAACTGAAGATCAGAGGGGTTAAGGTTCTTGCCTGATGCCACACAGCTAGTCAGTGGTGAGCTGGGTTGCAACCCAGTATTTCTTTCCCCCGAAGCCTGTGTTCTTTCTAGGATACAAACCCCAACTTCTTACTGTAACCCCCTACGGTAGCTGTGAGAATGGGCCTTGCAGACCTCCTGTCACAGGGGTGTAATTGATTAGAGCAGAGCAGCTCTGGCTTTGAAATCCATCCCATGGTCCCCCAGGGGCTGCTCCCCACCAATGGCTATGTGCATGGCTGGGAAACTAAGGCAGAACTATTCCCAGGAGACATGAGATTTCTTTGTTGGTGGACTTTGGCTCAAGGATTTCCTAATGACTCTGCAGAAGCTTTCTTAGACTACAGGACACCCACGGACACCTCGCCCACTCTCCTCTCAGGGCCTCTTGCATCATAGCCTGCTGGCTCCCTCTCTATTTCATTTCATACAGGCATGTCTCCTTACGAAATCATTGCATGTTTACTCCCTTCATGGAATCTGCTTCTTGGAAAACCCTGGCTGGCACACCCTTCTGTTCCCAGCAGGTTCCTGGTGCTGCCGTGCAGCTCCCTCAGGCCCCCACTGGCGCAGGGGAGGATGGTGGGCATCGTTTTAGAGAAGACTGTGGGGACATGGCAAAGCTACCAAATAGATGTGTCCTGCTGCTCTGCTGGTCCCGTGTTCTGGACTGGAAATAAGCATGTCATGGCCTGTGTGTGGGGTGAGGCGAGGGGCCCCTGTGTGGACAGTCGTCCTCTAGGCCTATGCTCAAGGCCATGTGACTCATA